ATACGGGGTGTTCCATTTGAAAAATCAAAGAAGCCGCTACTTTATAGTAGAAGCGACAACGCCGCTTCGTCTAAAATATTTTAGGCGTGTAGGTCATATTGACTTATGCGTACTGTGGAATTTTCAGGTTGATCCGTTGAATAGTTTGCCAGAAACGGCTAATTAACGCTCATCATGAAAAGCCCTGTATAATATAGTTGGGCTCTTGTATATAGTTGGATCTAGTAGTTATGATACCATTTCCAAAACGGATCTCTTCTACGCTCTTCATACAAACTTTTTTATCTGAAAGTCCATATTTATAATGGTAGTACTTGTTTTCAGTCTGAGAAAATTATTGATAATCTTTACGAATGCCCCTGGTATGCATGGAATAAAAAAAATAAAGACGTTTTTCTTCTGCTGATGACGAATAGCTTGAAACCGATGACTTTTTCTTCTTATGGAATATTAAATTTACGATACCCCATCACGATTCAGGTTAGTATATGTGCATGTCTTGTACCTTCAATGTTCAGTATAATTTTTTGTTTCATAATATCGTTTTTTCATAAAAGAAACAACATTCGAAATGTATTATGTCTTTTGTCTTGGCATCAGAAAAGATACTGTACTATTGTTCACTTCAGAAACTTTTTTGTACATTTTTTGTTTGAATAATTTATTTTTCCTTTGAATGCATACTTCAGAATCATATTCAACAAAGTTCTTAAATGACTTGAGAAAAAACTCTTTGACAATAAAAAAAATCATATCAAAATATCTATTTACAGTTGAGACAACGAAATAATTCACATGCTTCATCAATGAGATACGCGATGAAATATACACAACAAAATATATATTTTTTATATAGAATTTTTTTCTATTAGTGATGAATGGAAATAAAACAGATACCATTTGCATTCAATCAACGATGACTCATGTTTGCAATGGTAGATTGCACTGTTTACATTGAAGAGAGACAGCTATTCAAACTTGAGGCAATTTCTTATATTTTGAGGCCATATGAAGATGTTTTTCATCGTTCGACACTTTAATGTTTTCATTGTGAATTTTCTACAGTTTGAAGTGTTTTATACCAGACAAATATCTGTTTTCATAACTGATAAATTTCGGGCATTTTAAATTTTATAGTAACTTGTATATCTCAGTTATGAATCTATACATTGCTTTATATCGAAATAGAAAATGACATATAAAAATTATTGTAACAAGTTGGAAAATTAACTGTCTTAAACAAATTTATTTCCAACAAGTTTAATGGGCCCATTTAACATTTTTTTTAAATTTCATTATTTGAAAGTTTATGTTTCTAATAGTACATCTGCAAAAAATCTGAAATTTCATTCTTTATCTTCCCCCTCAAATTAGTAGTTGAATGTCGTCAAGCTTGACGTCACATCAGTCGACTCGACGACAAGGAAGTGCTGGCGGCGATGGCAGCAATTCATAATCTCCAACTACAGGCCCGGTTGCCACCACTTGAAGCTCGTTGCCTGGTGTGACGTCAAAATGTATCGCGGGCGATCTCACATTTTCAGTTGCTCTTGCTCAGTTGTTAATTGGCATACTGTGGGATACTTTACTTTTTTCATGATTTACTTTAATAATATATAATTTTCGAAAAAATCTAAATCAGCTTGAATGAGCCCATTCATTGTTCAACCGCACGATTCATTTTCTGAACTCAACTGCCCTCTTGGAACGAGAAGTCGGCCTTATATATCGATAACGATCGTTTTAGAATTCTGTAGTTGTTTCGGTACTCAAAAAGAGTTTAATCGGCGGTTGCCGACTGCATTCCTTTTGCGGTGATGTCATGTGTTTGTTCGCTGGGCGACAAATCGGTCAGGGGCGGCTTCAGATTCGTTACAATATATCTGCCGAATAATTGATAAGGTGCCTACAAATTTTACAAAATGGATTCAAAATCTTAAATGTGGGTTTTTTAAAGTATATTTCAAAAGGCTTCATCATAAGGTTAGGTTGTTTGGAGCAAAAGCTTTTTCGTTTTGTTTTCATCATTTTGTTCGTTTACCTTGGAGGTCTTAATGTATGTACCCAGTTAGAAAAACTTTGATTTTGTGAGCAAAGTAGCATAACCCACAAACAATGAAATCTTCTTATATGCTTTACGAAAGATTTTTTTCTCATTCTTTTCATTCTCTCATATTTGCAAATGATGGAAACCATTAATACTTATTGATTATTTCCATCATCAAAGATTTTCATCATACCACTTTTAGAAAAATGACTCTTTTCATCAAATATATATGCGCACTTCAAAAAGGCATCGAAACGCCACAAGAGTAATGGCTGTGCGAAAAGAAGAATATTCATCTCCAATTAAAACAGCACTAGATTATATTCATACAGAAAAAGTGTCTCGAGAAGTTTACACCTCCAACTGAAATTGTTCATGAAAAGTCCAAATCGGGATACATCAAATTGAACTTCTAAACGTTAAGCATTTCCAATTTTTCCCTCACAGATAATATATGCCGCTCTCGCTGAAATCAAGACTCTTGAATGCTGCTTTTCATTAAAAAAAAATAGAAAAAGGACAAGTTTCCATTATTTTTTCTATGATCCAGGCTAGAAAAGTTGCTGTGATATTTGCATCTCCAACCACACGAATTACTTTTTTCTGGACAAAAACTAGCAGCGTCAGGGTATACGTAGGGAGGGAGCTCCGTACGTGTGAGTTGAATTCCAAACCGAAGTAGTTTGAGCCTACATAAGTAACGTGACTATGCCGAGACAGTCAATTAATCAATCGTCGAATTTATCGGAATTGCGTGATCGAAAACGAATGGCTGAATTTTTGAAGGATATAATTTTATTTCGCTACTTTTCAAGTTTACTGGGTGAACTATCAGCTTGTGGAATGAAAAGGAGAAAAGAAAGAATGATGTTGAGTTTTTGCCGACGTTTCGATAATTCATTTCATTTTTCAGTAGAGCATTACAAATTAAACACAATCACTGAACATATTGAAATTATTGGTGAAATTAGACATGCAGTTCAAAGAAATGAGAAATTTTCAAAAACAAAAAGTGAATACTTTGTGTATGAGCACTTTTGTTTCAGAAGAGAAAAATATAAAGTGTTTTATTTATTTATCCATCACGAACACTCACATAGATAAATATTGGTATCAGCGATAGTTCGTTACATTTTTCTTATATATTTTACAGCTGAATATATAGGGTGTAACAGCGATATGCAGGTAAACGATAACGGCTTTCTTCTTTGAAACAGAAAAAAGTTTCGAATAAAAGTTCTAGAGAGTAATGAAAACTATGACAACATGGTTGAGGCTTTCGCGGACTAGGTTTTCAGTATCACTATTTTTATTCGGTTCACGGCCGTGGATTTTTGGAATTTCTTTCTGACGTTTCGCTGCCGCCAGTGGCTAGCTTCTTCGCAGGTTCGTTTATACATCTTGAGTTTTTTTTGAATAAACTCAAGATTCACAGACTCATGATATATAAACCTTGCAGTAGCAAGACACTCGCGCCAGTGAAACGTCAGGAAGACATTCCAAAAACGACCGCCTTCAAAGTCAAATAAAAATAGTAATGACGAAAGTTATGTTAAAAAAATGAGTACCTACCAATATACAATGGGAGGTATGAATAAAAATGAGTTTATGCTCCAAATTTTGGAGCAAATACTCTACGTGGTATGAATAAAAAACCGAAGCAGATACTTATGTACAGTTAATTGTGAGAATATTCTCATTTTTGGTAGGAATAAAAATATCTTCATGCTCGTTAGGATGAGAATATACTCCATAAATTTGGAGTCTAATAGTGAAGAAGCTATATGCAACTTTGATGAAATGAAAATATGTTTAAGATATGTAGGTGATCCGGGGTTTCAAACAGGAATGGGAGAAAATGGTGGTGTTCATCAAAGTACTGTGTGAAAGGTTGTGAAGCAAGTTGCTTACCAGATAATAGAAGAATGCGCACATTGAATAAAATTTCCTTGCACTCCGGCAGATATAATAGCAGCTAAAGAAAGATGACAAACAATGTACAATTTTCCGTGTGCTATGGGTGTGATCGATTGCACCCACATAAAAATTAAAAAACACCTCTGTGATGAATATATAAATCGCAAAGGATATCACAGTATCAACGTTCAAGCTAATCACAAATTTGTAACATTGCTAAAAATGAGTTTAAGAGGTCGAATGCATTAATTTTAGGAGATGAATGTTATGGCGTAGCATCGTGGTTAATTGTGCCTTTTAGAAATCCAAATACTCCGGCACAGCTTGCTTATAACAAATTATTTACAAAGGAGCGTGTAATAATTGAACGATGTTTTGGGCAACTAAAGAACGACTTCCGATGCTTCAATATAAAGTTCGGTTGTCGATTGAAAATGTTCCAAACCTTGTTATATGTTGTTTCACGTTACAAAATCTAGCTAAATATTTGAATGATGAACTCAATCCAAAGGAGTTCCCAATACAAGATATTTGGGATCCGCTTCCCGTACAAGATATACAGTGTGAATCGATTTTGATAATTTTTTTTTAAAAGTCAAGTACTAAAAGGTCTACCTTGAGACAAAATTTGAAATGTTCATTAAAGTTTCAGGGCATACTACGATATTTTTTCTTATTCGAAAATCGGGATTTTTTATTAGCGATTTTTTTATTGAAAAAATCACTACGCCACTAGATTCAGAATGCCTCTGACCAAATTCGATCAAATNATTCCACTGAATTCATTCAACAGACAAAGCTCAACCAGAATTTCCTCTCAAATAATTAGCAGCATCTGATTTACCAACAAAACTTCAGAGTCATATGACAAGAAATAAAACTTGAAAACACTTATATTTTTTTTTTAAATACCACGATGTTCTAAAGTATATTAAAGTCATTCAACTGACAGTTTCATCCAGAATTTCCTCTCGAACAATTAGTAGTCTCTGATTTTCCAGACAAAGTTCAGTGTCATATGACAAGGAAAAAACCTGCCAAAAATTATATTCAGTATTAGGCGTGATGGAAAGTTGGTAGGCTGATATAAAGATGGCGCTACCAGTATTAAGTCCATACGATTTTTGTCAACCCCAACCTTCAAAAGACACAAACACAGATTTCACAGCTGTCGGAACAAAAATTATTAGAATCGGTTTACAACTTCAAATTTTAGGGGGGTATTTCCATTAAAAATGGGTCACACTGTAGATGACATTAGACAAAGTGGGCAACGAAGACGATCTGAATTAGCAGAAATCATTCTTGCTTTTACTTAAGGTTGGTAAAAGTCAAACAAAACAACGCATTCATAATTTTTATCGTTAATATTTTTTCTTATAACTTTTACTTTGCAACAATTTACAGAAATATTTGAATATTACATATCAATGTGAATTTTTCCATTTGCATCGTCAAATATATAATTATTATTTGAAGTAAATTGTTTACTTGGATTTAGCTCCCTCTTCAGTTTTTGCTCCTTCATTTCCAAAACTCTTAGTTGTTCTAGCAAAACTAGTCTTTGTAGTTCGGTATTTGAAAGTTGTTCAGTATCGTTTGTCTCGTATTTTTCAAGAGGGCCGATTTTATTGGGTTTTTTTTTNGTAATCAAAATTTGACATGACTTTTCTGTAATTTTTCCATAATAGCGGCTTTAAAAGATGAGAAATAAAACTTTCTATGTTTTCGTTCCACTTGTATTTGCAACTAACATTATTGCAGTTTCGTCCTATGAGGACATTTTCAAACGAATGAAACAAACTGAAATAATCAACAATAATAACCCTTATATGTATATCAATACACCACTGTAGGTAATGGAAGACGGTCCACAATTCAACTGAGTAGCTGAATTTTGTTTACCTGTGACAATGTGGGTACGCTAATATTGAAACCGGCGAGTAGACCAAGTAGGAGTGCTTGTGTTCTACACAGAACACAAGCACTACAGAAAAATTCTTAAGGCGCTCTAGTAGTGGTGCCTGTGTGAAAGTAGCGGATTACTTTGGAGTTGAATCACTGGAGATCAAATTCATCTGGAAGAACATTTTCAGGAAGTTTATTTGACATAAACGCAGTTCACCAAATGAAAGAGTTCATAAGCACTGAAGTTTGAGGTGTACAAGCAGAACAGTTCGTCGCGTATTTCTGATATGTACCGCTCTTGGTCGAATCGAATGTGCCAAGTCACTTGAAGATCCCCCGTGAAAGTGTCTACAAAAAAGAGACAAATAATCTACAACCTCTCTTTGATATTCCAGACTATCAAGGTTGCAGGTGATGTTCGTGTCTTCAATCAGGCGAATGGCTCTTTTCTGAATGGAATCCACCTTGATTGTTTGAATTGCAATTTTCCTTGATTTCAAATGAAAAATCTAAATTGTTCACATCATTCATGGAAAACGCAACCCCTAAAATTTATTTCCAATGTAACTTTTTGTTTCATCATTTGTTTACCATTTGAAAATTTATTCCCGATAGCCTGTTTCATTCTAAACAAAAAATTGTCTTCTGGGTTTTTTGCCAAAAATAAACCAATTCGCAGCAAAAATTTTATTAGGAACAACTACAGAGATACATCGTCATAAATGCGAAAATACGAAACTAATCTATCTAGTAGGTCGCTATTAGCGATAGTGACAATTCAGTTGGTATGACGCTGTCAGTTTGTGAATTTTCGAAATTGAATTAATACTAATTGTGTGTTGTTGTTCTGTTCTTAATTTGTTACTTCAATAATTCACTTGTTATTAAAATGGCATACACAAATAAGGAAATGGCTGATATGCATTACGTTTACGGTCTGTCGCAGGGGAATGGGTAAGAAGCTTCTAGAAGATATGCTGAAATATATCCTCAACGGAAGCATCCTTCACATAGAATGTTTGCTCGACTCCATCAACAATTACAAGAATATGGTTCAGTCGACAAAAGAACGTAGGATGGTGGTCGCCATCGAGAAGTACGAAAACCACAGCTTGAGGAAGCAGTAAGTACTTAATTCGATTGAAGAAGAACCTACTACCAGTACTAGAAAAATTGCTTTCCAGCCAAATGTTGATCATATGACGGTATTTCGAATTTTGAAGGAACAACGCTTATACCCTTACCATTTGCAACGAGTACAGGCACTGTTACCGCGAGACTTTCCGAACCGTCTTGAATTTTGCAATTGGATGCTGGAAATGATTGGAAGAAATCGTGACTTTCTGAAGACGATAGAATTCACAGACGAATGTAGTTTTTCTAGGGACAAGATTATTAATTCTCATAATTACCACATATGGCTCGGAGTTATTGGGGATGATTTGATTGGGACTGTGGGATCGAGCGATCGGGGATCGAGCTGGCCACAGAACTGGCCCGCTCAATCCCCGGATCTCAATCCTCTCGATTTCTCTATTTGGGGCCATTTACAGCATTTGGTTTATCGTACTCCTGTTCGCGATGTAGAGGAGTTAAGAAACCGCATCATCGATGCGTGCAGGGTAATCAGAGAGACTCCAGGAATATTTGAGCGACTACGTGGCTCAATGCGCCGACGTCTAGATGCATTCGTGATGTCTGAAGACATATTGAACATTTACTATTGTGTGTTCTGTTATCAATAAATTAGTTTTGTTTATTACCCTTTAATCGTTTAATGCAGGTACTAACTACAAAATAACAATAAATCCAGTTCGCATTTATGACGATGTATCTGTGGTTATTCGTAAAATAGTTTTTTGCTGCGAACTGGTTCATTTTGGGCAAAAAACCCAAGAGACATTTTTAGTTTGGAATGAAACAGGCTATCGGAAATGTATCTTCAAATGATAAACAAATAATAAGACAAAAAGTTACATTGGAAAAAATTTTTAGGGGTTGCGTTTTCCACCCCTTACAACCATAGGGTAAACCAAATGAATTACTGGCTAAACGTCTTTTTAGTAGTACAAAACGTCAGGTCAATTTCAATATTGTAACTTTTTCAGTACCTGTGAAAAAAATTGTTATACAAATTTTATGTAACCCCTTTAAGGGGCTGTATCTTAACAAGGGATGCTCCAATGAAGTTCCTTTATATGAAAGATCTTTTTTTCGATGAGGAATCACCTCCTTGAATGTTTTACACTCATTCAGTTACACCCTGTAATATTTTACTTTCAAGAACTTTTCATTCATATGAATTGTGCATCTACATTCCATTGGAAAGTAGTCATTTGTTTATTCAATTTCTACAATCATCAATTCATGAAACTGATAATAATTCATTTGAATTTCTTTCTAGATGGCGAAGATATGTTGGTCAATTATTACTTTGATGATAAACGTCAACAATAATAAAAACTGAAATGGATAATTGTTAATTGGCAATTGTAATAATCATTTCATGATTATTCAAAAATATTATACTTTATAAATGTATTTTTGAATTGATAAAAATGATAATTTTATGTTCTCCTGTGTTTTTTTTTTCGTTAGATAGAATGAATCTTTTGGAAACACTTTTTTCTCGCCAGAACAAACTGGTGTCTCTCGACGCGCTCTTCGCTAACCAAGTTAGCATCTAAACAAATCATCGTCTTGCATCATTAAAGAATTTCTAGTATTTTGTTACTGTTCATTGTTATAAACTATTTTGTCAACCTGTTTTTACATACGAGGGCGAACAAAGGGCTATTAAGAATGTTACCTTTATTACGGTTCCTAGCTGTCATGAGTACGGGCAACACTGGACTTCTCTGGTCTATAAAATCAAAAATATGAAACATATTCCTTGAAGCGGGCTATCACACACACTTCGATTAGTTTGACCAGCATAATTTTTATTGCAATCCTCACAGGTCACTTCATAAATTACAGACTGGTTTTTCGGGTTGCCCAATATGTGTTTGAATAGTTCTGGAATCGATTCAATGATGCAAAGTGATTCATCTAGATGCAAAGTGATTCATCTAGATGCACATAAAAACATCAACATAGCTTGTGGGAAGTAGTTTCAGTCATCTCCTGATGATCCAACATCCTTAGTGAAACACAAGTCGAAAAAAATTTTGTTAAAGTGGGGTAAAATGTTTTCTGAAAGTAGTCAATTCAGGATATTTGAATCTGAGACGGAGGTTTTTTTCTTTTCAATTGTCAATTTTTCCGGACTTCACACAAAGCCCACTGAGAATTGTAATTTTTTCCAACTCGAAGGATATTATCCTGTTTGGTGTAGTAATTGAGCCATAAAAATATTCAGAAGAATTTGCGAAAGGAACATAATATACAGGAAAGTTTTCGAAAAGAAATCAGGAAAATAAAACCTTCTCCACGGAATGTTGCGTAGGTAGAAAGGTAAGTCCAGAAAAAGTGTATTAGTGAATCAAGGTGAAAACTTGATCATTGTGTGATTCAACCAAAGATAAGTACGCCCATTTTTGGATGGTTAAACAATTGAACCAATGAATGATCTTGAACAATAACTCTTCAGAAAAAGTGGAACTGTACTGCTATAAGTAAAATGTGCAACTTCATTGTTCAATATACTGTATTAATACAATGGTGGCGTACTTTAAAAGAAATCACTTTAATAATAATGATAATAATAATAATAGTTATTTGCCATCCAATTTGAAATACACAATAATCTTAGTTAACGACAAATAAATATAGTTCCCACAGAAGGATGAACCTGTGCGTGGGCTATATCATTTTGAAATACAATAGATTATAATGAATGGAATATAAAAAATCAAGTTTCTTTCGGTATGAACAAAAAAAGTACTAGAAAATTATATACAGATATTACATTGAAATCATATATAGTCAGTATAAATAGAAACATTTAGCATGAACAAAAAAAAGCACTAGAAAAATTACATACAGATATCACATCAAAGTTACATATAGTTAATATAAATAAAACATTTAGGTTATACCTATAATTAAACAATCGCTATAGATAAATTACATCAAACATCACTCACACATCAATCAAACAAATACCCTATTTTTTTAAATGAAAAAATCAAACAAACAAACCATGGAGAAGTTGACCTACAGATTACATAACTCCAATCACATACATATTCTACAGACATTCATACATTGGAGTAATATGTATTTTTCACATCAACATATTGGTGTATCTGTGCTCTAGGCAAACCTGAGATCCAAGCTTTAAGCTTATTTTTGAACATATTAATGCCAAAGATAGTTTTGATTTGTGCTGGAATGAGACTATACAGCCGAGGAGCTGAGTAAGTATAACATTTTGTGAAGTATTTTTCTCTGATTTTGTAGATAGGTTGAATTCATTTTGTGGCCAGTTGCATAATGGTGTTCAATTTTTCTAAGTTTCTAACTTCTGAACTGGCATTATTGTCTGGGGATGACGATAGGTTTTTCATCTGTTCTGTAGTTTAAGTGATATAACCAAAACCATTTTCGAATGGAATTTACTCATTTCAGAATTGAATATCATTCATAGATACCTTGCATTGAGTGAAAATCAGTCTCATTCCTAATGCAGGTACTTGTGATCATCATGATATGACGGTACGGTGCAACTAAATGGTTTACTACTTTCTAAACTTGAGTACCTACCTATAAAAGCACGTCAATTGAGTTGACCAATGTCATAATCATTTCGAACTGTTGAAAATCTGTTTAATCTGTTTAAAATCTGTTTTTCCGTTAATCAGTTGTCGCCCTCATACGAACGACAACTCTCAGAAGTTGAGAAACTTGTGCGAGCTAAGGACTAACGAGGTCTTACCTTTCAACGTGTGATTCTTAACACGGTTGCAGAATCATTCCAGCTCCAACCAGATACATTTTCTCGAGAAAAATATCTGTTCGGGGCGTAAATCGAACCCACGGTCTTCCGATCGTGAGTCGGGCAAACTACCACCGCGGCCAATTCAACAAAAATGGAATGAATGGATGGAATGATTCAATTTGTGACAGATGTCGAATTCAATAATAAAAACAAACTTTTTGATTTTCTCTAACCTTAATTAGAATCGGATTTGTGCATACAATAATTTCCCAGGTTTAGTTTGTACATCCTTTTAACGTATTTTATAAAAAGTTTTCAGCACTTTATGAAATATAATGATCAAAATAGGAACTGACAACTGACGTAACGTAACGTCAAATTTCGTTTCAAAACTAACCTTACGCTAATTCTGAATTATCATGAATACGTTTCAAATCATAGTTGATGTGACGTCATCGTTTCAACGCCAGAATAAATGTATTTGAATTACAGACGAATACATTTTGAACACATGAGCGCCAAAAAACGCCTTTATTTTGGAATATTAGGTACGAGCATAGAATTGGGTCTTCCTCACACTAATGTGTCTACTTGCATATCTATACTGGAAAATACAATCAAAACATTTATTTCTACAACAGATGAGGTTGTTCTTGCAGGAGATATGAATAATAATTCAATCACTACAATAGACTACAAGATTTTGTAATTTTTTTGAAGCCTTTGAATCTACCAACAAGAATCAATTACCATAGTGTGCCTTCAATTCCAATATCAATTCTTGGGGACAAAAAAACATTTCTGAAACAAAGAAAATAATCATTCTTCATCGAAGTTCTGATGTAACCTTAAATATACAGTTACCCTGAAAAGTTCTTTCTTAATTAACATTACGTCATCATTGAAATACCACTGGGTATGTCATAAATGAACCTCAAATGAATTAATCGTCTTAACATAAATGAAATCATTGATTAATGAAAGAGAGTGAGTATAGCTCTAAAAGAACCTAAGATTGGTGGAAATCTAAATTCAACAACAGAGATGTCAATTTTGACATCAGTGATTTTTTCTAGAATAAATAGATCAGAAGATACATAAGATTGAATTATTGATACTGCTGACTCCAAAGTCAAAAATATTATTGAAACAATATTTGAAATCGTCGAAGATAATGAAGGAGTTTTTGGCTTTCTACTACTCCATCTCGATACAAAAAAAGGGATGAGGGAATCTTCCAAAGAATGAAAGGAAGTAATCAATTTGAAAATAAGTAACTCCATACATGGATGTGTAGATCATGCGAAGAAGTAACTTTCAGACACAAACTGAAAGAAAGTCCTCCTGAAAATTAATCACTCCTAAAAATATAACCCCTTCAATTCTAATGAAGGAATTGTATTACCTAAAAAAGACATCAATAAATGTCCTGCAATTATATAATTATATTAGAAGATAATGGAAAGGCAAGTTTATCTGGATGAATAATATATTCAATACAAACTATAAAAGGTTTTGAAATAGGAGAAGTGTCTTGGGGTATTAAATGAGCAAATGCATGTGTGACCTTTCAATTATGTTTGTATAGATAAATGAACGATCATTTTTTAATTGATTACATTATTGATTTGGTGTTTAATAGTACATAGAAAACCTTTGAAGGATGATTAAAGATAATTCAAAGCATTGAAATAATAATTTTCCGATAAAAATCATCGACCTATATATTTCAATGCACATTAAACATATTTTCATGATATTAGTAATAAAAATGAAGGTTCATAATGTGCTAGATCATTAGTTCTTCACGAAGTGAATAAAACATGTGTATTTTGTTCAGTCTTATATTTCTACCTATTCGTCTACAAGTTTCTATCGAGGCGAGAGTCATATTTGTCTTTAAAAATAATGGAGAAATCAAAGGAGAGAGGTGAGTTTGCAAATATTGATAAATATTACTGCAGCGACTGATGATTATTAATTAGGATAAATAATATGGAACTCGTAGAGATATCGCTGCTATCGTGTTCTCATTCAGTATATTTTTTTCGGTTTGAGGGTTATTCAGAGTTTTTAATTATCGAATTTGTTGCTCATATTTATTTTTTTGCTTACCTTATACTTGTTGTACAAAGAAGATAGACAGTCAGAAGATATTTAGGAGAAGTCATTGACATTTTATTAGACTGAAATGCAGTTTTATTGGTGATTCCTGAAAGGAAAAATAACCCCGACAAATCCACGACATGGAGAAAGATGCGTCCATAGATTCACAGACATCCTAGCTGGACAGACCTAGACAAGAAACTACAGGGATTAACAGAAATCTCGATGACGACTATATCTGGTCTGATAAATTCGATAAAGAAAGAAGTTTCATACCGTCGAATTCTGTTTTAGTGAAATCGAAACAATCGAGTCTACAATCACAACTAAGCATAGAACGAAAGCGATTAGCATTTGAAAATGAGAAAAATATACAAAAATCAAAGTAAAATATGCGTCAATTAGAGCATGAAGAATAAGTGCAAAGTCTGAAATTGTAAAAAAATTCCTTTATCTCTTTGATGACTTCATCAATATATTGTTGATGGTATAACCATTTTG